GCATTTCATGTATTCTTCTCCTGTTAGTATCTTTCAATGTCCTGTGAGATGGTGGATTGTTTCTGGAGCCACTTTGCAAAGCCTGAACCTGTAATCTTGCCTGCTATGGCAGTTCTGGGCCTCTATTGTTCTGATGCTCAAGGCCTGCTCCTATGCTGCCAGTGCTTCTGTGCAGCCTTCACTAGCCATTGGTAGGATTTGGTCATACCAGCCACTTCAGCTATCTGTCAGCGGTACATCAAATGCAGTTTTTTCTCCAGTGATGGTTCATCAAGCTCCTTCTCTTCCATCTTCCATAGTCTAATAGAGTCACTGTAGGCTTCATCCCTTGAGGTCATCTTCCTGATATATTCTTGTAGTTTGGATTGATAATCTTAAATGGTGGCTCTGATGCCCACAAGCCCTTCTACCTCCTTCTCTGTTCTTAGTGTATAGACTATGGATACTGGATTTGGGGTGGAATCACCATGAGTTGATGTCTTGTTCACTCTTAGGATTGAGCTTGATGTTATCCAGTTAAAGGAGGTGGCTGATAGTGGGCCCATTTCTGAGTAGGAATCCATAGCTAGTCTTGTTGATTATTTGGTTGAGGGTGTTCAGGCCTATACAGAACAGCAGGGGACACAGAGCATTTCCTAGGTATATTCCACTTCTGATGGAAACTGGCTTTAAGTGGGCCTTAACTGTGGTTTGCCACATCCCCATGGAGTTTGCAATGAAGGCTCTTATAGCCCTGTTTATCAGGTACAGCTGCAGGCATTGCAGGATCCATGTGTGGGTCATTAAGTTGTGGGATTTCTTAGTAATCAATCCAGCCGTTCATTATAAGGACTGATCGGCCATTCAGGGTGGGTCCCGTCCTTCAGTAGAAAGGACTGGGTGTTCGTGGAGAAAGGTCATCTTCTTCAGCAAGGTGTGGATCATGACTGGGCCTTGTTCTACCCAGTTCTTCATAATTTCACAATTTATCTTAACATTGCAGATGGATTGACTACTGTTTACAGTTTGAAATAGAAATTGTCTGCCTTTGCCTGTACCTAGATATATGACCGTCAAAATAATACCTTCTTTCATGGATCAAGGGTAAAAGATGAGGAGAATGCAGTGTTGCTGTGCTGCATGTGACCTTTTTCGTCTCAGCCTATTACTATTAACCTATACTATTACTCGAAAACTATAAATATGTTATTTGAGTATAATTTAAACAATGCATATTAATTTCAAACTCAAATTATCCATTTCTTTATTAACCTTTGTCAGTACAGGCGAGCTCACTATTGTTGAAGTTCCTTCCTAACAGATAAGTGTGTGAGGGTTTTCCTTACTGCAGTAGTCTGTTATCTTACCTGCAACCGAATTTGGGCGGGGAATAAGGTTAAGAGTGATGCAGTGGTTAGATCCAGAAAAGTATGAAGAGTTTGGTCCTTGGTGTGGATTGAGCTTGTTTAGGCTGTAGGTGGAAGTAGACAAGCTGTCCTCTATCCAGTACAGCGAGCTGCTGTTGGGTTGACTCCCATCTCTTACGCACACAGTGGAAACTGAGGCCACCACCGGTCGGCCTTCCTGCTGCCAGTGGTTGCTACCATGGCAACTGTCAATGGACTGCCTTGCTCCATCCTCCGGCTCTGCAACAGTCTCGGCAGAATAGCTGGTCAGCGTTGCTGGAAAAATGTATGGAGAAACATGTTAAACCAGTAAATATTAAAGTATTTTCTCAATTTTTTCCTAAATCAATTGAGCAGCTCTAAACAGAAACATTTTTTTTTCTTTTATACCAGTGTTATTATGTAAACACATTGTTGTGATACAGCATTGGTGAAGAGATCAGTCTGATCAAAGCCACTGAGTGACTACTGAATAACTGTCATGCACCAACCCCCTTTGTGACTGGGATCATGCATCTTTTATGAAGATCACAGCTGGCCAAATTTACAATGTGCTGTTGTGTGCTCCTGCTGAAGATGCAACAAGTTCTGACCGCGCAACTGTGCAAACCAAAACCCAGACGTCACGCTGTGAGACGAATCAGCTGGAGAAAAAGCTGTGATGCAGCAGGACAACCGCAAACATCATACAGCTTTAGAACCGAAGATTGCAAGCGATCATTCTCTTTTAAAGCCCACCCAACACCCTTGTTGCTTTCATCAGACTGATCTAAATCTCTCCGAGAGCAGATCCAGTTGAAAAATATCCACTGGCTTGGACTGAATAACTGAATTCTGCTACAGTTCGCCTTGCAAGGCTTGAGGCTTGGTACTGGTTTCATATCTCCTTATTGTCCCTAAGGGGGACTGTTTATTTTAGTATTTTAAACTGCTTTAAAGCTAAAAACAGAAATCAGACCGCATTACCTACGATTCAGAATGAGCTGAAGGTAGTGTCTTGTTTTCCCTGCCAGATTGAACCCAGTGTATTGTGACCCAGCTTGCAGAAACAGATGAGAAACTCTGGCTAACCAATGGAACAGCTATTGCTGTTCTACCAATGAGCCACATAAGCCACTGACCCCTGCCACACTGGTTGTGCCTCTGTCTTGAACTTTGAAACAGCTGGACCATGACCTATTGGTTTGGCTGCTGTTTGGAGCTATGCTGCCGCCGTCTGAGCCGCTGCTACAAGCTACCTGCCGCCTAAAGGGGACGCCCGTGTCAAGGCTGCTGTGAATAATAAAGTTAAGCCCTGCAGATCTGTCTCTGTTGTTTGCATCAGAATAACTCAAATCTCTCAGAGAGTTGCCTGTTGGATAAGCGGACTGTGTTCCTGAGCTGAATCGAAACAAATTTCTTCAAACATTTTCTGACTCAGACAGAACAGAACCAAGCCAAACCCCTTCCAGTCCACTGAGCAAATAATTACAAATATAACATTTTCCCTTCTTTCATCTGATGCTTAATAGATCAAAATTGCTTGGTAGAGGGATAGGAAGAATAGATATTTTTGTTTGTGTTTTATCTGAAAGAAGTTTTATGATTCAACTGCTGATGGTTCTTAAGTAAGCGTTCTGAGCTGAATGCTAATGCTCACTGAGCCTGACTGAACAATCCATGCTGTGTTACTGTCTGCTTTATTCCTCTTTTTCCATTTGTTTGAAGAATCAAGCTACTACAGTTGAACTGGCTAGCATTGTTAGCTCTAAGCCAGCTCATTCCTGACCTCATGGTGGTAGCCATTTTGAGAGTCTCCAAACCCCTTCTGATGTAGCTGGCCCATCCAGGAACCAGATATCCTGGGCCAGCTGAACTAACCCATTCTTTCCATAGTCACTGTATTTTAATGTATTCCTAAGTCATTGTTCATTATTCACTATAAAACCAGGTGAAACTTCCCTGTTTTGATTGCACTGAATATCTCTGCAGCAGTTATTCATTTATCTACAGCTATTTCAAAGGATGCCTTGAATGCATTAAGCCTTAAACTTGAACATTCCCCAGAGACTGATGAATATACTCTTAAAACCTTTTCCTGTTTTTGTTTGCTTTTATTTAGTTGTGCTTATTTTCAGCAATATGTAGTGTCTGTGTAGTTATTAGATATAATAATACTGTGATAGGGATTATTAGCTAACAAAGGTACCAGTGTATTTGAACCTTCTGTGTTTATTTTAATGCGGTGAATGATTTAGATCCACCATCCTTTGAATAACATTTGAATGAACATAGATTTATTTGGTTGGTGATTAATACCTGATGCTAATAACAATGCTGATAGCCATAGTCTAATATACTAAACGGTGAAGGCAACTGGATTTTAAACCGCCGGTCGAGGAGCCCAACCTTTATGTAAAAGACTAAGAACCTGGTAAGGGAGTTATTTTCAGTTATAATCATTTAACTAATAATCATGAACTGGTTTTACCCTAGATTCTAATGACCTAGTAGTAAGAACTCTACTGGGTTTACATAAAAGGCATGGCGAATACATATATATATTTTATGTGCATGAAAAGTGAGGTATGATCATTCCACCATAAAATTTGAATAATGTCTAAATGAACTTAAAATGTCATAACCTGCTGGTAAAATAGTACAGAGCTGAGTACATAGAGCTGGTGAAAATCTTTGTGGCATGGTGTGGAAACAATCATCTGATCCTGAATGTCAACAAAACAAGGAGATGATTGTAGATTTCAGAAGAAACTGGAACAAGTTGAATCTTGTTAGCATCATGAGCGAAAAAGTGGAAACATAACTGCAAAAACGTTCTACAAGAAAGTACTGAGCAGGCTATGCTTCATAAGGAAGCGTAGGTCCTTTGGCATTTGCAAAAGGAAGCTACATATCTTCTATCAGTCTGTTGCGGAGAGTGATTTCTTCCTCCATCATCTGCTGGGGTAACAGCATCAGACTGAAGGACTTAAGAAAGCTCAACCAGCTGATAAAGAAGGCCAGCTGTATTCTAGGAACGCCCCTGGAGATTATTTCACAGAGAAGAATTCATCATAAAGTGAAGAAGATCATGGGCAGGGCTGAGCATCCTCTTCAGAACATTTTTAAACAACAACTAAGTGTCTTCAGTCAGAAGCTTCTCCAGATGCTGGTACAGTTCCTGCCTATAAACACCTAGAACATCTATTGAAAAGCTTCCCATGAGATTTCGTAACATTTCCTTTCCCTTTGAGATAAAGTATTTTTGAACTGAACTGAATTTAAATTTATAAAATACCTAATTAACCAATTGTTGTCAGTCCCACCCTTTTAGGAGGTGGTAGTCAGGGGTGGATCAAGGATTTTCAAAAGGTTGGTGCGCACCTAAGAATAATGTCAAGACAATGTGGAGTACCCCAGCCAGGGGTACGTGTACCCCTAGAGGACCGCAAGGGACACATGAAAAATATTTTCTAAAGCAGTAAAATATAATAGGGCTGTGATCTGTAATGCTGCGTTAGAACCCAATTGAAAAATTTAACAAGCTTTTATTAACCAAAAGTTTTATTACATTAAGCTTTGAAACATCAAAACCAAGCAGAGGAACATCCTGGACTTAAAGAACAGCCTGGGATCAGCTGTCTTTCACACTGAGCTATCTGAGCTCATCAAACCAGCTCAGGTGTCAGACTATAATTTTGTTTTGCATTTTGTTCTAAATTCATCAAGTTTAAATGTATTTGTAAGGAAGTTACTTAGAGGAATCCCTGTTTTATAAATACAGGTTCATATTATGATTTTATTTATTATTTATTTCGATTCCTTAGTAATTTCCAGGAAACATTTTTATGTTTTTTTTTTTTGAGACGGAAAGAATATGATGATGAGAATTATTGTCAAATTAAAAGATCAGTTATTGCATGTTCCACTTTTGGACAATTATCAATACTTTTGACTGAGAGGGGAACTCATGGTGAGACAAAATGTTGATTAAAAAAGGTTGGGAAACACTGAGCTAAATGACAAATGCCTTCTTTATTCTTTCACAGAACCCCAACTATTCATCTAAATATATATTTTTTTATTTAATGTTAATTTTAATGGATGAACATAAATTAAATTGGCATGATTACATAATTTGTAACTGAAAAAGCATTTTTCAACCAAAATCTCTGTTTAAACAAAATTTGATCATCATGTTGACATTTTATCACTGCTAAGATGAGGAAATGGAAATGTCTTTAGAGCTGTACTGAACGAAACTTCGTCTTGTTTACACTCTGTGTATACTAAATGAAAATAAAGTCTCTAAGTCTAAAATTATTCTTAACAATTAAACAAACAAAGCTTTTCTTCATTCCCAGAAATGATTTATTTATAAAAATAGTCAAGGACTGAAAACAGTTTGATATGGTTCTGTTTCCGTCTGCCTGCCTCTTTCTCTATATAGGCTAACGTTTCATCGTTCATGCTTTCTGAACTTCCCTTGTGGCACGAGCACAGGGCGGCTGTAGCGATCATGCGCTTTTTCCGCCACTTGCGCGGAGCAGAGATGCTGGGGAAACCGTAATGAATTGGGGGATCGCTGCCTGATGTAACACTGGCATCTGGTGTTACGTCACTGCCGTGATGTAATACTAGCTTGTTTTGGGTGACATCTACTGGCTGTTGATCTCAATACAACGAAGTATGAAAACAGCTTCGAACTCAACGCTATTTCTGACATTTTGAATTGTAAAAGCTTCCTGGATGGGAAGCAAAACGTCTTCAAACTTGGAAACAAAGTCCTGCGGATTGTTTTTTTTTTTTACTTTTTTGGAATCTGTAGCTGATATTTATTTTGTTCTCCAAACGGAGGGGGTGGGGGGCACATGACCCTGTCTGTATCCTCCACAGGTAGTTGTGTAATGATGAACACCACAACGTTAAGCCCAATTAGTAAAAGTACATCATTACCCCGTTTACACTACCCTTGAAAAAACGATACATGCCGAGACCGGTCCGAGCTCGGATCAGTTAACCAGGCCAAGCTCAGCCTGACCGTTTACACGTCACGCTATCTCGGCTCCTCGCCTCCTAGTGACGATCTGCTGTATTACTGCCAGTATTGAAGGAGGAAATCAAGCAGTTGGTGGAGGTAATGCACCAAATGTTGTTTGCCAACTGCCATAAAACACAAGAAGAAGAAGACGAAGAAGGGAATCAAGCAAATCAAAATGGCGGCGCCTGTCACATTCAGAAAGTTATGCTTGATTATAATTGCTGTACTTCGGTGTTAATATTTAAAATGCCATTATTTAAAATGTTGCTTGGAGAAGATTCCGATTGTTGTTTATAGTTGTTGTTCTTCTTCTGCTTTGTGTTGGTTGGCAATCAACTTCCGGAGGGGCATTATCGCCAACTACTGGAATGGAGTGTGAATCGGGATGTGCAGCCAGACGGAGATGACGCGTTCTGCTCATGCGCTCTTGTTATCAGAGAACCGAGCCAGGGAAAAACCGAGCCGAGCCCACCTCTGGAACTGGTCTGCAGTTAGCTCGGTTCGGTTGTGTCTAGCTCAGTTCAGTTCAGTTTGCTTTCCATTTACACACGATAAGTTATCTCAGTTACTGAGCTCGGACTGGTCTCAGCACGGTTTTTCACGGGTAGTGTAAATGGGGTATAAGATTATTGCCCATTACACTACTGGTCTGTGACAGACGAGTTGAAGCTGAGGGAGAATAAATCCTACACTCCCAAAACTGTTTGGCTTCTTACATCTATTTCATATATAAAAGGATGCAGACTGCAACTAGGAGACATCAAAGGAAACAACAGAGTGTCTGAAAATGAGCTGCAGCTCATTCAAGCAGGCTATAGGTCATCCTCTAGAAGTCACTGTTTCATCTCTCACCCATGATTCCACTGTCTCTGCTCTCCAGTGTAGAGGAGGGGGAGGTGACGGAGGCACAGTAGGAGAAAGGCTGTTTGCTGTTATTATTACCACCTTCCCCCACAGGAGGCTGCATAGTGGAGCAGGGGGAAGTGTTGCTGCTTGCCAGACTGGAGGAAGGAGACATTCTCTGTGGAGAGGATAAAAACTGTGCCATTGTGTAGAATTACAGAGTAATAACTTTATCCAATAAAACATTTACTTTAATGTGTGTGAAAAGGGAGGGTTTGGTGTTAGATGTATACCTGTCCATCATCCTGGCTTTGGTTAGGCAAATAGGGCTCTCCAACTCTGACCTTTTCTCCCAGAAGGAAGCCCAGCTGGGTCATCAGCGCGTCAGCCGCTTCGTCTACAGAAGGCGGCGGCCCGAGTTCCTCTACCTCATCTAGGGAGCAATGGCAAGCAGAGAAGAAGAAAATGGTTTATCATTCCTCTTAAGATTAGAAAACCATTTCTGATCCATGATTTGGGTTCAAAGATCAGACTATAAGTATCCAACTCTCATTTTTCAGCTGTTTTATCCAGCGTTATCAAAATTCCACCAGCTGTGAATTCCAGAGATCTTCTATCATTGCTAAACTTTCTTCTCTTTGCTACAGAAATCTAGACTTTACTAAGTTAAAATGGTTCATATACAGGAATCAATATGTTGAATAATACTTTTTTCACAACCTCACTTTTTTTTTAACACCATGACACCTGTGAGCTGCAACTTTGGTAGAAACTTTTTAACTTTAGTTGGAAGTCAGTAATTATAAAATGTTAAGACTGACAGTTTTTGTAGTCTCCAAGTGTAGTAATGCTTAGAATTGAAAAAAAGTATAATTATTCAAGTTAAACTGCATTTTTTTTCACTTTTACAGTATAAAAAGACTGATCTATATTACTGTTATTCATTATTTAAACCTAACCCAAAATGAAAAAATACTTAATTCCCATCTATATGATGTGAAAACACTCTTTTCTTTAGTGCCAATTCAATTAATAAGTGATACATCGAAAATAGAAAAGGTTTAAAGTAATGTACAGTTAAGAGAATTTAAAGGTCCAATATTATGTAAAATACACATAAACATCTTGTAAGAGTCTTTTATGTGTCCTGATGCATTTGTATGAGGCTCACAAATCAATAAACCCTTTCACCTCTCTCTCTGCCACTTAGTGTGCTCAAAATGCTCTGTCTGACAAACATGCACTTCTTCCATCTGAGCCCACCTGCTACCTTCCTGACACTGAGCACCCAAACAGGCAAGGCTAAGCGAAGAGCTAAGCATGACAGACATTTTGTGGCTGAATCAACAAAAGTCTCTTTCCTGCTTTCATCTGAGCCTCCGAAAACTCAGTTGATAGATTTTATTTTTGATGCAAATCTAACTGCAAAACTTCCTCTGTGTGCTGAGCATTTCGAGAAGACTGCCTAGCCTAATACATAGTAAAGACATTAGCACTGCAGCCAGTGATCCAATCGCTGCAGTTTGTCGTCTGTGGGACTCGCTTTGGAGATGGAAGCATATTTCCATATACTGCGATAACATTGCAGCCATTAATAAAGGTCACTTCACCTCTCAATCTCTCATGCCATTTATCAGAAGCATCACTAGGCAAGCAGTCACAAATAACTTTATCATCACTGCTTGTCATGTTCCCGGCTATTCTAATTCTGCTGCTGTTGCTCTTTCTTGTTTCAAATACCAGATTTTCTTCCAAATTCGACCTACAACCGACCCCTGTTACTGACTTTCCTCCAGTTTTTACATTGAGTCAGGTTTAGCCCCTTCCACTTTCAGAACCTATGATTTTGCATGGCAATCATTTGCAAAATTTTCCTCAGGTTTTAACATTTCTTTATATCCAGTACTCATTACTTCTGTTTTGGCATTCATATCTTACTGCTTCGACATTCGCCACAATAAACCTCCTTACATTCAAAGCTTACCAGCAGGTATTATTAGCAGTTGTAGCATTTTCAAAATACAACAACTCAAACTCTACTAGCCTCTTCGCAAACTACTGCATTAGGCTCCTTCTGAAAGGTTTCAAGTGAATCAAGTGAACATTCTTAATGTTCAATTCAATTTCAATTCAGTTTATTT